GAAGCACCGCCATCCTGCGGACATTCCAAGGACTAAACGAGAGGTGGCACACGCACACTTTCTTACGGCTTGCGCTTCGGGTCCACTTCCCACCTTTAACCACCTCGAGTTCATGGTATATACTAGTTCACTGTATTCATGGCACTGCGGCCGAACGCTCGCTAAACCTTTCGAAAACCAAGAAAGTTACGCCCAGCGAGTATGACGTAGCAAACTTTTTCAGACAGATAGTGCTCAATGTACATGCCAATGGCTGCTAATGGGAAATGAGAGGCGGAGAATTCGGCATATACTTTCTTGCGGCTTGCGCTTCGTATCTACTTCCAATTTTTAACCACCTCGAGTTCATTCATGGTATATACAAGTTCATTGTATTCATTGCACTGCGGCTCAACGCTCGCTAAATCTTTCTAAAGCTAAGGAGGCTACACCGAGCGAGTATAACGTAGCAACCCTTTCTTGTCAGATAGTGCTCAATGTACATGCCAATGGCTGCTAATGATGATCGCAGCCTGCGCGTTAACTGAAAGCCCAATGCTCCTGTCTCTCATTCTTCATTAGCAGCCATGGACATGTGCATTAAGCACTATTTTTTATTGTTCAACAACGCACAGAAGAAGTCTCTCACCGGCACCTTCTTGGAGGTCAAACTGTTATACTTGTTACATACTACGGGGGACGAACGGGAGCCGCTATAAGGAGCTTTGCCCCTAAAACACGTGTGCACGACAAGCCTGAAAAAGCCCAACCTCCGACCACGCGAGTGGTGTTATTTTGTCGACCAGCGTTATGTTGTGGTCGGCGAGATCGTTTGGAAACGCTCGCTTGGACGTGGTAGAATAGATGAGCATAACAAGTGCTCAAACGCGCCACACCATTAATTTCTTTTCCAGGACTGGCGTCTGTTTGATGCGCTAACCGCGGGGACACAAACGCATGTGAAACGCAGACCAATTAGCCCCGCATCTTGTTGCAACTCATGGGGGGAAATGGAAAAGACACGCACGTTCCCTTATTTCGTCTCATAATTTATCTCAAGTTTGATTCATATATTCAAGCAACCGATTGCATAAACGATAAAGAAACCATGTGTTAAATAACTTTCGCCTTGTCACGTCCGTGCTACTGTTGTCAACGTCAGAACGCAGTCGTCTACGTAGAGCACCGACGTCACAGCAATGCCATGTACGTAAGGAAATTCAAACGTGCACGTCATGCCTTCATTATCTGGGCGCGCGCTCGCGAAATAAAGAGAGAGAACAGACCATCTTGAAATTTGACCCATTTCCGCAGTGCGTACTGTGGCATTGCAAATTTCGGCAGGTGTGATCGCATTGCGTTTGTCAGCTCGTAATTGTCAAACCTGGTGAGCGGCGCTTTAACATACATCTGTTGCCGCCGTTCCTAGGTACGTAACTGTCAATCACCAATACACCACGGCCCGTGGTAAGCCTGTCTCTAGGAGAGGGTTTGTAGACGTACGTGACAGGATTTTAAAGTCATGATAGAAAGGTGCATTCCTAAAATCATCTGCCATCCCATATTATTATTATTCTCCACCAATATGAAGAGGCGATCACGAGTGCAACAAGACGGAAGCTTCTGGGTAAATAGATAAACAGAGATATTGAATCACGAGTTGCGAAACTTCCCATAGGCTCCATGTATCCAAATCCGGACACGTTATAACCCCCCCCCCCCCCTCCAGTCGGGAGTGAACAGACTGTCGCGCCACCTGTTGATCCGCACGCCCACTAATAAACACAATATTTGTGTTTGTATTGCCGCTCCCAGGTGGCGCGGCAGTCAGCTAACTTCCGAAAAATCGGGTTAACTGCGCGTCCGGACTTCGGAACGCAGTTTCACTACTGGTGTGAATAAATAACTATGATAAATATATATATATATATATATATTTATCATAATTATTTATTCACACCAGTAGTATATATATATATATATATATATATATATATATATATATATATATATATATATATATATATATATATATATATATATATATATATATATATATATAGATCTTTTGCTAGAAACGCAGTGCCTATGGTTCGCAGAATAAAAGAACAATGATTCTCGTTGAAAAACTTATGCGACCTTACTCGTCCATTCAAGTGTCTTTAATTGCGTTAGCCCCGGACATTTGGTTCATTTATTATGCGCATCTAGAATCTAACAATTTCTTTTTCTCAAACCAGCACGGGTTCCGAAAGGGTCGTTCTTGCGAGACTCAACTCTTGGAGTTCACCACCGACCTACATTCTACCATGAACAGTAATCTACAGACAGATTGTTTATTTCTTGATTTTGCAAAGGCAATCGATTGTGTTGCTCATTGTCGCTTGATATTAAAACAGTCATCACTAAAACTTGATTCACTCACGCTAACATGGCTCAGAAACTTCCTAACTAACCGCCAACAATTCACTATCGCCAACAATCACTCTTCATCACTCTGTTACGTTTCCTCTGGTGTACCACAGGGCAGTGTTCTTGGTCCCTTACTTTACCTCATCTACATTAACGACCTGCCTGACAACTTATCCTCATGTATGCGTATATTTGCCAATGACAGCATTACCTATCATCCCATCCGCAACAATAGCGATCATCTAACTCTTCAAAAAGACCTCGAGCATATTAATGAGTGGTGCAAAACATGGCAGATGACACTTAATGTTTCCAAATGCAAACTAATCACCTTTAGTCGCAAACGTGATAACTTTAATAGCCAATACATAATTGATAATAGCATTGTAGAACGCACTAATCATTACAAATATCTAGGCATAAACTTAACTTCTACACTTTCGTGGTCCACACATATCACTTCTATCTGTGCCAACACATCAAGATCATTAGGTTTTCTGTGCCGAAATCTGTACAGTGCTCCCTCCGATGTGCGCAAACTGACTTATCTTGCTCCAATCCGTCCTCAACTGGAGTTTGCATCCTCCATTTGGTCACCATATCAACAATACCTCATAGATAAGTTAGAATGTACACAGAACAGGGCTAGTCGATTCATAGCGCGTAATCACAGCTACCCGTCCAGCGTAACACAGATTAAACATAGCCTTGCACTCGAGCCACTGAAAATTCGCCGTGACATCTCACTTTTATCACTATTTCACAAACTCATCCACACCAGCATGATGCCATCTGTTCACCTTAATCTAGTACATCGAACTTCGAGCAGACTACATAACACCTTTAGCTTATCACGCATGTACGGCAATACTAACGCTTCCAGCCAGTCGGCTCTTCCACAAGCTATTCGTTTGTTGAATGATTTGCCAGATGATCTTGCGTCAGAACAAGACCACACAAAGTTCTATCATACTCTTACAAAATACTTATGCACCAAAAACTGCTCTATCGCATCTTCGTAACCATCAGTGTTTATAGAACTGTTGCCGATGTTTTTGCACTATTGTAGTTACTGTCATAATAGTTGTTTTGTATTTTACCTTCACGTACTGTAACTCACTTTTCTAGTATGTATTTTGCTTACATGTTTATAGGTTGAACTGCATTTTCTATTATATTCATTATTTGCCTCTGTACGTGTAGATATTATGTATATATATTTTGCTAACTTATTATCTGTACCGCCCCCCTTACACAATGCCCCTTGAGGTCTCTGTAAGGTATTGTAAACAAATAAATAAATTTCCCTGGCTCACACTCGCAAATCGCATGCGGCTGTAAGACACGTCACCTTTTTTTATAGTGGTGCACTTTAGGTTGCTGCACTGTGGCTGGTTGTCGCGTGCTGTCATCATCGCTCGGCGTAACTCTATGTGCGATTTCTTCCTCTTGTTCTTCGACCACCTTGATGAAAATCTATTATCCTCATCAGCATGAAAAACAAATACTGCGCTTGGCCTAACGCATGCTAAACAACATAAAAATAGGAAAAAGGAAGCCAGCACGAAACTGAAAAGACAGAAAAAGAGAGAAAATAATAAGAAAAATAGAAAGAACAAGAAAGAAAAACAGATAAAGAGAGAGGAGAAAAATAAATGGAAGTACATCGTTTAAAAGAGACTGAAAAGAAAAGAGGAAAAGAAAACCGAAAGCAAACAAAGAAGCCTGCTCAGTTCTACACTTTTTTCAAGCTTGGCACCCTTCGTACGAAGGTGCCTTAATATTTGTTTTCTTCTTCTGTTATTTCCACCTGCAAATCACACTCGCATTTACTGGCTCAATGATACATCTAATAAGAATTCAACTGTTAATCGTAGCCTGAGCGACAAGAATTTAGTTCTTATTGGTGTCACAACGTGTGCGTCATATTAGTCGCCCATTCCTACCCTTCAATTCCAGTTTCGGTACCTCGAGTGGACCACTTCATGTTCCTTAAGATGGCCCAATCGGCGGGGAATCTAAAGTGAACAAGAAGCACCATATCCTGGAGTGCTGGAACCTTGAAAGTCAGGAGCGAATAGCCACGAGTGCTCCAAATATTAAATTGCATCCTACGTTCTCATACAACCGAACTCATTGCTTTGCTGCCTGGTATGTGTACGTTGTGTTTGCACTAGTAAATAGTACGGCGCTTGCGTTGCCTGTCCAAGCCCCATGCCGGAACAGCTGTGCGAATGAGTTAAAGGCCTTCCCGTCCAGGGCGCGAGAAAAGAAATCATGAAAGTTTGTCACATGACGTTTGTGCTTTACTGGCATCCTGCGAAAATTCTCATTTGAAACACAGTTTTGCTAAGGGGTCTCTTTGTAAACATTTTTTTTGGCTTTGACACTGATAAATATTGTAACACGAAGTGTTATTGACCGTTCCTTGCAATATTAAAGTTGTCCCTTGCAGTTGACCTATTTTTGTTTTAAGTTTGAAACAGCTCAAAATGAAGCTGCTTTGTGATGAACAAATTAATTTACTTGATATGTTACTTGACAGTGAAGGACTTGGAGGTAGTTCGAGTCTATCAAAAAACTAATAAAGCGCAACTTGTGGTGGCACAGCAAACAGTGGAATGCGCAGTCCACATCGATTGAGGATAGAAGCTTTTCAAAGTTGAACATTACTCGAGCTCTAAACATGCTGCGAGTTTTTAAGGTAGCGATGGTCATTCTTGGAGTTCTAGCTTTGCCTCTTGTTCTGGGGAAAGCTAAACACCAGCTTCAGCACGAGATACCAGATGCAGCAAAGGTGAGCCACCGTTAAGACTAAGTCCGTTAATCATATATTTTTTTCATTTGTAAGATGTAGTGCTTAACCTTGTTGTTCCCATTTTTCATGCTTATAGACGTACAATTTCTGGCAGGAGATTTCCTTAGGCTATGTACTATGAGACCTTTTTGTGTAGAAAAAAATAGCCAGAAAAGTTAGCACACAGAGAGCACGCTGTTGAAAATAAGGCTGTTATATGTCATTTGAACATATGCGCATAGATATGATTGGCATTACAATGATTATGTGAGTATTTGCAGAGTTAGAAACATAAGTCTAATTAACCCAACCTCACTAACAAAAACTTAGCAGCGGCTACTACAGTAACTGGTAACAATATGCACTATGTGTGCTTAACAATCGGAGGTTTCGTTAGCGACAACAGGTATAACAGGCTTAGCCGGCTAAACTCGGTCTTTCTGAAAAATGTCATACATTTCGTGGCTTCGCTTGCTGATGTGTGCTCATAAGATTTAAAACGGCAAGAAAACAGTGTCGCTGCAAGACGCAGGTACTCGCCAATGAAGTGAAATGTAGAGAGAACCATGTCCTTAAACGGATTAACGGTGTTGTAGGACTACGGTAGACCATGGCCCGAATTGAACTGCTTGGAAGCAGCAGGCAATGAGACTTTGCCGCCAAATCTCTGGGTAAAGCTCTCCGTCAGGCCGTGGGTTTTCAGGTGATAAGAACCCTTGTGGTGGTGTATAAAATAGCCTTTTATGACAAATTACTAAATAAAATCTGACAGGAACATACAGCCTGAGTTGCTCGTGAATTGGCGAGGAGGAATTGTATTGGAGGTATCAAATTAATTCCTGATAACTTCACCAAAATTCTCAATGCAATTAACGCCACGAGAAAATATAAATTTGCTTATAAAATAAATAGACCATAAAATACATCTGGGTATTGTAATGTGTTAAGGAGTGGTGATGGCCACTTTACGCTTGTCATGTTTTCTGCATCAACGTGTAGCTTCGAACACCCTTATAATGATTAGCTGCTGATAATTCAACGGATGAGTGAGTGAACATCTGTAATATTGATTAGTGTGCCGGGTAAAGAGCGCCATCGAAAACGGATGAAAAGCCCGCCAATTTTCAATGCTTTCAGCGCCATCACAACGTCACTTAACACGGCCCCGCCCCATTTGATCGTGTAGACACACGAAACCCGTCACGGGACTTTGATGGGATATTTTGTTTGCTAAGCTCACACGTATAGTCAAGTTAGAGTGTACTAGAACGGCGGAGTGCTCAGAATGGCAGAGTCACCAATGTAAAGTGAAGCCAAAACAGGGTCAAACCACTTGGGGCACTACGATCGGTAGTGTGCAATCTGTCATCATTTTATAGTTACGCGCGACTTCACCAAAGTAGCATTCTCGCCTTCCACTCGAAAGGCCCAGGTTCGAATCACAGATGTAGATGATGTTTTTATTTTTTTACGTGACTTGTTATAGTCATATCGCTCGTCTTTGCGTCTTGAAACCCACTATAATTCGTACATATCACTGGAAAAAGTAACTTGAAATGTGATATAACACAGAAAAAAATTAGACAGGAAGCATAAATATTTGCATCACCACCGCACGGCTTTCAAAAAAAAGTGGAAAGTATGGCCTCCGGGATTTCTCGTATTCGCACGGATCTATATTTATTTCACCACTGTGGTTCAGCACTATCAAAGCTACGGTGTGCTAGAATGTCACACTCTTGACTTGCAAAACGTTGTCCCATATATAAATGACTTAAAATTGACCAGGTTGGCTAAACTTGGCTTTTGTTTGGTATTTGTTTTTCCACATCGGTACGTGATATGTTCATTCTTTGCATTTATCTTGTACGCATTTACTTATTTGTTTCGGTTTCAAATCAACAAGGCATTCCCCATGCAGAAGTGACCACCCGCTTCGATCCGAACTCGCTGCACGCCCCACTGCTTTTGCAGCAATAAATAAATGGTGAAATCAGCCATCGATTTGTTTCATACTACTCTGAGGACAAAGAATCGGGTACATTTGTCGTTATTTGTGAGATATGTTATGTTGCCTGCTTAATTACCTGCACCTGCTAAGCCTTACGTGCCGAGGCAGTGCTCGGGCTGCGTTGCCAGACCATGAACACTGCATCTCCAAATACCGTACATGCGAATTCGCAAAGCATTTTGTACGTATCGGATCCAACTGAAAAAAAAAAATAGAGTAGAGGAGTGTTGCAGTCGGAGACGTGAAGGAACGCGTCGATGGAGAAGCAGTCAGACTCGAAGAGAAAACAGCGACCATCTGTGTTCCCCATGCACCCTGTCATGGGTTGAGCGTTTCGATTGAAGCACAGTTTTTCCTTCATTCGAAGAACTGCACCTGTTAATATTGTTCAAAACGCAGTCACCCATCTGTCACGAGTTTATAGTACGCACATGTCATCGAGTGAGTCTCCGCAACGTTACCTCTCCAAGTTACGAAGTTTTTTTTTTTTTTGCGAAAGAGACGGAGTCAGTGGCTTTGTGTAGTTGCTTATTTCATAGTTGACTCTATCGATAGGTTAATAAACCAGCCATATTGCCTGCAATAAGTGTGTATAGACAATTCGGTGAGCAGACTCTCGGTGAGCAGATGACATGGCGCGAAAGAATAAACATGTGGAGAGCTAATCACCCTTTCTGAGGGGCTCAGTAGTTTCCACAGTGCCGAAGGGAACTTCTGAAACAGTATAGGGGCCATAATTTACGTTTTCATTGAATGCAGTGAGGTGGCATGATAAAGTAAATACGTTCATGCTAAAATTCATTTCATTTACTTCACATGTTGAGTCATCTTCTTTAGCAATAGGTAAGTAGAAAGGAAGAATTATACCTATGCAATACATTTTTCTTTTATTATCTGCACTTTTTTGGTAGAACCGCGCACTGCTCTTAAAATGACGGCACACTGCAGACTATCAATCACAGTGCCCCGAGCAGTTATACCCTCTTTGGGCTTTATTCTTTAGGAGCTCGTTTTAGGCCCTTCCGAGCACTGCACAGTTCTATACTCGTTGACCACTTTTTTTTTTGCAATGCAGTGCAGGCTAATGAGCCAAATCGCCCGAATCCCGCCGCTAAAATTTGTAATCCCACAAATCTCTCTTATTTCTGTACGTGAGATATGAAAAATACTGCCTTCACTTTATTGCACGTAGCTTCTTGGCACAGAATGGAGCTCACATGAGCAACATATTCGTGTTTGCTTTAAAATGCTCGTCATCCCGTCCCGTCTTCGGACACGTCTGAAAGGCGCGCCTTTTACATGTAATTCGAATGTCAAGCGGCGACTGCGTCGATATAAAACGCTTATCATGCACAGCCATCACTTTCCAGAGCGGTAAAACATACCGGTCTACTTCGCTTAGTAGTAAATGTGTAGAAGCTGCACCCCCGTAGCTTATCCAGTAAGCTACTCCGCACAAGGGGAACGATGGGGTATACCGCTTAGGCTAAACAGGTTAACATTACTGCTTTTACTCTCCTTCTTTTTTTCTTCCTTCCCGTGGCTTTCCCTCTATATGCCATGAAAAGTCGTTTATTTAGAGGCGAAGCTCCTTAGGATGTAGGCTTGTCTCTCGTAGTTGGTTGTCGTAGCAACTCGTTGGAGTCGGAGTCTCACAAGATGGCGCTGCGGCACTCACTCTTCTCTGATGCTCAGAAGATGTGTGTCCGTCCGTCGGTCCGCCTGAGTAAGCTACAGATTTTCGCATATAAATATGAGACAAAATTTTACCAATGTGCTGGAACAAAAATAGCAATGCCTTGATCTAGAACAAAAAAAGGGGTTTAATTACAAATTAATTTCCCGTGGAAGCAATGCGAACAAGCTACATTATAGGTGTATCTTTCAACCGCCCGTTTAAAGGTTACAAATTTTTTGAAAAGGCCTTTCGCTGTGCGGTAAGCCGTAACGATTCAAAGTCCCGAAGAATTACTGCGCACTATAGCTTACTGTCCATAAAGGCTAATTGTACGGCTTATAATTCTGCTCAACACCCTGAATGTGCTCTAAGATTGCCTTAAACTTCCTCTGGGAACGCCCGTATGTCCTGCTAGCTATGACCGTGTGGCCTACTTTACGACTCAATACGACAATTTGTGTTTGCACGAACGTGTCCCCGAAATGTAGCTACGGGTGAAGTTTGGCTACCCATCCACACTGGGACCATGGCGTGTGTAGACTGCATGTGGGCAAAACTGGAAATATATGTGTTGAAATATTTGATTGAGCGCTATCTTCAATGCGGGTCCTATGATTCAGTTGCTGCGGTTTTCTATCTCGCTTGCAGGTATTCCATGGATTCCGCAGTGGCTTAGCGTTATTTGATGTGGACAACGATGGTGACCTTGACTGTGTCTCTACGATAACTGAAGACTACGACGAGAGCGTACCGAGCATTACATATGTGTGGCTCCTCAAAGGCGTGAACGGGCACGAAGCGTAAGATTCGCATTAGCAGAATAATCTATTTAGGTACCAGTCAGAATTCAGCCTTGTTAATGCTATGCAAACTTGATGTACTGGTTTCTATATTTACATTTGCCCCTAATGAGCCCTATAGAGCTTCTCAGACACCACCTGAGAAGCTGTAAAGTAGGTGCACTGGATGTCAGGACCCAACCATGAGAGAATATTCAGCGCCCGCTGCTTTCGATATCGTTGACAATTTCGTCTCGTTGAAGTGGTGCCATGATTTCTCGGTTTGTTCAAAAATTTAAAAAAAATAGTTGGTAGTAATTTCCCGCATGTAATTCTAAACGTAGCGTGAAGAAAACAGCAAAAGGAGAAAACAAAAACTGTTCTGTGTATTTTGGGCTACGCATAATAATGAAATATAACCAACTCTCCCCAGCAAGACACCCTTCCGATGTAATTCTAACAAGGTTTAAGTCATAGACAATTCCTTGGTTTCTGAGATACCAAATACAGTCTTTCATTGTCGTACCTACGTGCTTGCTTGAAAGCGAGAATGCAGGAAGCACTTGAAAACGCGAATATACAAATTCCGTACAGAGTCCCGCTGCACAAGTATTTCTGTAGCTGCTGTTTTCTACCCTCGCTTTCTTTCATCTAACAACCCTCCAAGAATTGTGTTTCATATCAACAGCGACCTGAAAAAACAAAATTTGTAGCTGCAGTCACGCTAATTTCTTTAAATGATTCCCAATTTACAATAATATTTATAGGTGCATGGCCACTGAAATCAACCAAACTTTTGAACTGACCGTATAGGTATTTCATTAATTTGAAGTAAAATGAGATCACGGACATAAGAGTGAACGCCAGAAAGAATATACTGGCTGTGGACGTTTTGCACGCAAGTGCGTTGGGCGTTCTGCGCAGTGTAACTGACTTGGACGACAACCAGGTGCGCTCTCATGTTCCCTTGGGATGTGATGTAGTAACCGGCGTGATCTACGACATTGATGTCGCTATTTCCAATAAGGACTTACAACTTCTTGTCAAGTCCACAACTGATACTCCAATTGTTGATGTCACCCGACTAGGCAAGTCTCGCTGTGTGAAGATTGCGTTTAAGAGCACATCACTCCCCTCTCATGTGAAGGTGGGGTACTTCAGACATGCTGTGCGGCCTTTCATTCCAAAGCCTCTCAAGTGCCGTAAATCCATGAAACTTGGACATGTGAGCAGCGTCTGCGAGAATTCGGTGGTATGACACCGCTGCGCCGAGCACCATGAAGCGGATAAGTGCGTCGCAACTGTCAAGAAATGCTCTAATTGCAATGGATCCCATGAAGCCACATCGAAGGACTGCCCGCGGATTCAGAAGGAAATTGCCATCTTGAAGGAGATGGTGCGCGATCACTCATCTCATCGAGAAGCCGCAGCTAAAGTCAGAAGGCGTCGTTCACGTCGACGTCGGTCTTCGAGGACGCCCGCTACCTCCTCGACACGTTTGCGTGATCCCTCAACAGTACCACCTCCTTTGCCTCCCAGACCACATGCCGTGGGAAAGGCTGTAAAGGACAAAGCCAGTGAGCATACCCTAACTGCGACAGAGTGGCCTGCACTTCAAAGGGAAGCAGCATCAAGCGAACCGAAAGAGCTTCATGACGGCCAGTCCGCGCTCCCGGTTCGAGATCTTTCCAACCAAGACAGGCAAGTGACTGCAAGCGTCCCGGTTCGAGATCTTTCCAACCAAGACAGGCAAGTGGCTGCAATCGTGCAATCATTAATTGCCACGATTCGCACGCTACTGAGCAGCATACAATCTCCGTCTGCTAAGAGTGCACTGCAAATACTGGATGCACTGAATCCAGTTCTTGCTAACTTCGTATAAGCACAATGGCTCAACAAAATCTCCACTTCCGCACTGAAGTTAAAAGTGCGTCGATTTTTCAGTGGAATGCCAGAGGCATGAAGTCCCGTATCTCGGACTTTCGCCAATTTGTTCGGGCCAATCAATTCCCTATACTTGTCATATGTGGACCAAACGTATCAACGCCTTATAGATTGTCCGGTTATGAAGCTTTTTGTTCAGCCGCTTGCGAAGAACGAAGCAAAGAAATTGTTTACATTCGCACAGACTTGACTTATCTTTCGCACCCAATAAGTTCAAATGACGACAATCAGTACGTATGTCTTCGTGTGAAGAAGAATGCAGTTTCGTTCGCGCTTATTGGTGGATATATATCTCCGTCATCGCGATTTGACTGCGACAGATTAAAAGACATCCTAATGAGAACCGATGGGCCTTGGATCATCACCGGTGACTTCAACGCCCATCACATGCTTTGGGGGAGCTTTAGGATGAATGCCAGGGGCCGGAACATTGTTACATTCGCTTCCGATTACGACCTTTCCATCATGAACGATGGTACCCCCACATATCTGCGGGGTCTCACGTATGGCAGTTGCCTTGACCTGATATTGGTGTCACGGTGCTTCTCTCACGAAGTTAAGTGGTTTTGCGATATTGAGACTCATGGGAGTGATCACATACCCACCTACGTGACGATAGATGGTATCATAAAAAACTTCTCTTCCGGTGTTGCAATTGGCAATGACTGGTCGATGTTTACATCGCGTGTTGAGAACGCTTGCCAAGAAGGCCTCGCCTGCAGCCTGGAAATTACCATAGTGGAAGCTATGCAAGCGTCCAAATGTAAATTACCATTTTCGTCTAAAGTAACACAGTTTGACATCGAACTGGAAAAATTACGAGCTATACGAAGGCGTGCTGAACGACGATACAGACGCACAAAATCAATTTACGATCTGAGGGAAGCAAGGCGGCTCCAGAAAAAGATTCAACGACGCATTTACAAACTGGAGAGCGAACGCTGGAAAGCATTCTGCGAATCTCTAGACCCTCATAAACCGCTGTCATATATCTGGAGAACAGTTCGTGGTCTTCGCTCCTCTCCACAACAACGGCACCCTTTTAAAGCTTTGGCACTCTATCATTAAAAAACAGAACTCGAGGTGGCTGAAGGATTTTGCACGAGAGTTGCCGGGAATATTATGACCGAGAGCATCGACGCCGTGATCGTTCCTGAGACGCGATTACCAGAAATGGACATTCCGTTCACCATGGAAGAACTGGAAGGTGCGTTAGTCGCTTCTAAGCGCATGTCATCGCCAGGTCCTGATGGTATCACTTATAGTGCGTTGGGACACCTTGGACAAAAAGCTAGAAAAGAACTTTTAACATGCTTCAACAGCTCCTGGCTCAGCGGCAGTGTTCCCCGAGAATGAAAAATTAGTCGATTATTACCACTTTTGAAATCGGGAAAATCACCATTGGACTTGACAGCGTATCGACCTATTGCCCTCGCAAGCTGCCTCGGAAAAGTGATGGAAAGAATGGTTCTATTTCGTCTCGAGTGGTACTTGGAACGATACACCAAATACCCTTCTTGCATGGCAGGCTTTCGTCGGGGCCGTTCCTCCATTGACTGTGTCCTTGATTTATCGACATTTGTTCAACAAGAAAAAAGTCGCAAGCGCATATCAGTGGCACTCTTTCTCGACGTGAAGGGTGCATATGATAATGCAGATCACGATGCCATCCTCACTTCTCTCGCAGCAATGGGCATTGGTGGACGAATGTTTCAATGGATAAAAGATTATATAACTGGCAGGGGTTTCTTTGTACAAACATATGAGGGTACAACAGCCCAACATTACACCTACTGCGGAGTACCTCAGGGAGGTGTTTTAAGCCCCACATTGTTCAATGTGGCCCTCATTGGTCTGGTGAAGGTTCTGCCAAAGTCGGTGTGCCTATCCATATACGCCGATGATATTTGCCTCTGGAGTGCTGCAGTTACTCGCCCTTAGGTGCGTGCACGAATACAGCGGGCAGCAACCCTCACAACAGCCTACCTTCAGAAACAAGGCCTAAATATATCAACTGTGAAGTGCGCGTTGATGGCGTTTACACGCAAACCAATGATGCCATACCCTGTTTACATCAATGGGCAGAGTGTCAAATATGCACGGACGCATCGTTTCCTGGTCATAATAATCGACAGAAGTCTTTTGTGGAGCCCACATTGTGCGTACTTGAAGAAGAGACTGCTATCCATTGTGCATATTATGAAATTCTTGTGCGGTAAAGCATGGGGAACTTCTGTGGCCTTCATGCTACAGCTGTACAGGGCCCTATTTCTGGGTCTACTGCGCTACAGCTTGCCGGTACTGACTAACACTTGCAAATCGAATACTCATTCATTGGACAGTTTGCAGGGTCAGGCACTGCGTATCTGCCTAGGACTGCCCCGATGCGCTTCTACTTATGCCACAATCATGCTTGCCAAAGACCATCCGGTCAGGACATATATAGTTGTGGATTGCCTCAGAGCGCACATTCGACATGCTAGCCGTGTCCCCGACCACCACTTGGCCCTTCTACCTTCCGGAAGACCACGTGCTACGTTTTCAGACGTCATAGCCAAGCACCTAAACAGCATTCCATCAGGATATACGCCAGCTGCGAGAACGGCATGCCCTTTGTGGTGCCTCGACCAGCCGCAAGTACGTCTAGAAGTTCCGGGAATCAAAAAGAAAAGCAGTCACTCCAGAGTAGCATTGAAGCAAGCAACACTGCTATTATTACATGAGTTGTACTTAGACCGAACGCAGATATACACTGATGGGTCCGTCTCATCCAGCAGCTCATCCGGTGCCGCTGTAATTCCGGCTGCAGAAATGACAATCAAGTTTAAGTTGTCGCATATGACTACATCTACGGCATCAGAGCTTGCTGCTATAAGGGCTGCTTTACAATACCTCGTTCAAGAACGTCCAGGAAAATGGGTCATATTCTGTGATTCGAAGGCAGCGCTTCAGAGTTTGCAGTCTGCCATGCGTAGGAGGAGCCATGACCAACTGGTACAAGAAATAAGACATTGCCATCATGAAGCTCTAGCACGAGGGCATGATATTATATATCAATGGCTGCCTGGACATATCGGTATTACCGGAAATCAATTAGCTGATGATGCAGGCCGCTCAGCCCATGAAGAAACCCGTGTAGTCCCGATTCCTCAATCAAGGAATGATGCAGCAAGACAACTTTACCTGCTGGCTCGAGATCTCACACGCACGTTCTGGTCGTCTACGAGCTTCCAAAGGTGTCAATTTTATGAACTGGATCCTTCGCTCAAGCTAAAGCTACCATCACAACTTTCCCGCTCCGATGCGACACTGTTATGCCGCCTTTGGTTGGGTGTTGCATTCACAAAGGTGTACTCCTTTCGCATTGGTATGGCAGACACTCCTACATGCGACTACTGCGGAGATGAAGAGACCATCGAACACGTCCTGTGCAGCTGCGCTTGCTACGACACACAGCGATGCCAGCTACGGATGGTTTTGAATCGACTTGACCCCGGACCATTTTGTGTGCAGAAGATACTAGGACCTTGGGCATCTGCCTCAGTTGCGCAGAAAGCAACTAAAGCACTGCTACTTTACCTTAAGTCAACAAACCTGAGCGACCGCCTGTAAACTGTGTGTGCTCCCCGAGTGTGCTCGTGATTGTGTGTACCTTCTCATCTTTCTGCAACCTCTTTTCTCCCTTTTATCCCTTCCCCAGTGCAGGGTAGCAAACCGGATGTGCGTCTGGTTAACCTCCCTGCCTTTCCTTGTATCTTTATCTCTCTCTCTCTCTCTCCGAAGTAATCCAGAGCCAGCTCTGATTTGTTAATTACGTATATGAGATGATGTTGACATTGTCATACATTTGCATATAATTTTTTTGTGTTCACGTTCATTTTTAATTTTTCTAATAACCCAGTACGCAGTTCCCATTGCCCAACATTCACCAGCCTTTAGCCAACGTTCGGCTATGCTATCCGGTATTAGCAAGCACTTCCCATAGTTATTACTAGTACAGCCTGACGTTAACCAGCGCTGAGTGGATGTCCTAATGTAAGCTTCGAAACATGGATAGTACCCGGTATAATATGGAGTTCAACACAATGCGTTTAAACGCCACTTACTCTTAAAAAATCACGCAACCTCTTCGGTTCATTCCGAATACAGTTTACTTAGAGTCGAGGGCAAACGTCAAGGTCGCGGCGTTGTATACATGCGCAGATCACTAAGTTGAAGAAAAAAAAAGTTATTTTATTGACTGTTCTCTATCACACCGTTTTTCTTCAAATGACCGCAGGAAAAACATATCCTATTATGTACGTTCTGGCAACGCCCCTGATGAGTTCTTGTTCAAAGACAAAAATGGTGAGTATAATATTTTTTTTATGACCGGCGCTACTGTTTCTAAGTCTGTTCGTGTGTATTTGCGGCCGACAATGCGTTTGCGTTTTATACGTATAAACAGGGCTCTACTGCAATCTGTTAAGTATCAAGGCAATGTCCCAAGGTAATGACCAATATTCCCTCGTATACGAGGGACTATTGGTCAGCTGCCAGCTCGTAATGAGTTCACGTGCTACGAGACGCCATAGACGCTCATAAAAAGAGTGTACCACACTCGCTGCCATGGCTACAGGTGGCGCTGACTGACACTCCCACGTTTAAATTCACATATAAACCCAATAAAGTGGTTGGGGTAATAGTCGCCATCATAGCTCAGTGGTAGAGCATCGAACGCGTAATTCGGAGGTCGTAGGATCAATTCCTCCTCACGGCAACTTATTTTTTTACCCACTTTTCTTTCTCCTTATTTACTATATATATATATATATATATTTATATATATATATATATATATATATATATATATATATGATCATCATCATCATCATCATCAGCCTGACTACGTCTACTGCAGGACAAAGGCCTCTCCCATGCTCCGCCAGTTAACCCGGTCCTGTGCTTGCTGCTGCCAATTTATACCCGCAAACTTCTTAATCTCAATTGCCCACCTAACCTTCTGTCTCCCCCTAACCCTCTTGCCTTCTCTGGGAATCCAGTTAGTTAACCTTAACGACCAGCGGCTATCCTGTCTACGCGCTACATGCCCGGCCCATGTCCATTTATTCTTCTTGATTTCAGCTATGATATCCTTAACCCCCGTTTGTTCCCTAATCCACTCTGCTCTCTTCTTGTCTCTTAAGGTTACACCTTCCATTTTTCTTTCTATTGCTCGCTGCGTCGTCCTCAAATGAAGCTGAACCCTCTTTGTAAGTCTCCAGGTTTCTGCTCCGCAGCTAAGTACTGGCAAGATACAGCTGCTATGTGCCTTCCTCTTGAGGGATAGTGGCGACCTACCTGTCATAATTTGAGAGTGCTTGCCAAATGTTCTCCACCCCATTCTTATTCTTCTAGTTACTTTAATCTCGTGGTTCGGCTCCGCGGTTATTACCTGCCCTAAGTAGACATAGTCTTTTACAACTTAGGTGCACTATTACCTATCTCGAAGCGCTGCTCCTTTTTGAGGTTGTTGTACATTACTTTTGTTTTCTGCAGATTCATTTTAAGGTCCACCTTTCTGCTCTCCTTGTCTAACTCTGTAATCATGAGTTGCAATTCGTCCTCTGAGTTACTCAGCAATGCGATGTCATCGGCGAAGCGCAGGTTACTAAGGTACTCTTCATTAACTTTTAACCCTAACTGTTCCCATTCTAAGCTTCCGAAAACCTCCTGTAAGCACGCGGTAAATAGTATTGGGGAGATTGTGTCCCCCTGCCTTACACCCTTCTTGATTGTAAGACAGGATATATATATATATATATATATATATATATATATATATATATATATATATATATATATATATATATATATATATATATATATATATATATATATATATATATATATATATATATATATATTTATGTATATATATATATATATATATATATTTATGTATATATATATATATATATATATATATATATATATATATTTATAAAGAGAAAATTTGGCAATGGAAATCGGAAAGTATAAATTCAAGAAGCCGGGACATTCGGACAACATATGTAAATGCAGCACAGAAAGACAATGACAATTACATTAAATACGAAGACACATGAGGTAGGTCCAATGACAGAAGAAGCTAAAGAGCTTGTACAAAGTGTGCGTTAATATGCTAAACAGCGCTAGTCTTGATAAAAATTATGCCGCCGAACTATGACGAAATTGTGTTCATTGTCGATGAAACAGCGCATAACTAAACTAATGAATACAGCCAAGTTGCGGAAATTAACTTCCGGCAACTCGCGCAACCTACCATGTTGTTTCAGCGCGAAAAACACTATGATGCAAAAAATGAGTTAAATAATCGTTCCCCACCGTGCAGCAACTCGCATACAATGAGAAACACGGAAGTATACGAAAAGACTTGTGCTCAGTGATTGTTCCACGCAGAATCCGAAAGACAATACTACTGAGCCATGCAGGGCAGTTTTCGATCGCGTGAATAAATTTCCAGATAAGGTGCACATTAGTGAGCTTTCTTCGGAAGTAAAGTGACGGTAATAACGAAAAATTCGGCATATCCCACGTACCTATAAAAGTCGACGTTGTGCGAAGCATGCGGAGGGAAGGGGACCGTGAAGCAATTTTTTTTATTGAGTGACCTGTCATGAAATGACGCTATAGATATATGTGGAAATGTTGCACGTGCAGACATATGTTGAAAAGTTGCAGATGTTTTTATATAATTGGTTGTTTGCACTTGCGCATCGATGCGAACTGGAAGATGAGAAACACCTGGAGCTGATATGAAGTGCTGATGCTCGCGAAGATACTGGCACTGGACACTGCTACTAACCACAGTTGACTTTAACCCGACGTGACGGCTGTATCAAAGGAGTACATACGTAATGTTTTTAAAACTGCGTAGGCAGTACGGCAACCACTATTGACGTTTCACGAAGATTAGCGTCTATTTGACACGTAGTTCAGAGACCAGGCATAGCTCTGTGGTAAAATGCTTCATTTCCACGCACAATGCTTGGGTTCGATTTCAGCTTGGAACCTGACATTTACTTTTTGCATTCATCAGGTCGGCGCTACCAATGTCGGATATTTCTTAAATTGCCCATCTGTGTTTTGGTCCTTCCTGGGTAGATACTAAGCGTCAATCAACTGTTGCATATACCCGCCCATGGGTATGTGCCACTGTCTGGCGAGGAGTGTTTGACAACGTATGCGACGAGATTGTGACATTACTCATGTCTTGACTAGCACGTCATGTCTGTCAAACCATCTTACCCTGCCATGCTAATTTCGGTTGACGCCAAGTTAAGGGGGCAACCACGAGAGCACCCAAACGTAAGTGGCTAGGTAGATAGATAGATAGATAGATAGATAGATAGATAGATAGATAGATACGCTTAAGGTCGCTGAAGTTCGCTACGAAATGCCTCGCATTCAAAAATAAATCATGCTAGAGGAATATTCAATGTTTTTATTAATGGAGCGATGATCTCACAGGCTAAGAAATTTTTCTCTAGACCTATTCATTTCATGGCACAGCTGGATTGAAAAATGTGTGTCTACATTACAGAGGTGCGTTAAAGTTGGTGATCTTCAATTTTGTGAACTGGCTATGAAGAGTATACGCGATGTGGAGTGCCTAGAGGGGTGCCATTGAAAGTCGTGTAGCAGACACGTCCTTTTGCTACAACCATGGCGGAAGTTCGAGCGTGTGCCAGGCTGCTCATGCAGGTCCGAAATAATTACTTTTGTGGTGATAGTGGACGCAAAAGAGCCACACATTATAAGAGTGGACATGCTTCCGATGTCACAGCTGTATGGAAAATTATCCCCATGCGCGCCATGCGTTTGCCACAGACGCGCACCACAACAAGCTCGTCTACAAAGGGGAGATCATCGTAAGTGCGCAAGTTTATTTATAACAACCCAACGAATAATGCCTGCATTCGTTGATGAGGGAACCACCGTTTTCTTCTCTCGACACACTTATTTCGCTCACATGTCATATGCATATATAGTTGATTTTGAGAATGTGGTGCATGAATTTCCCAAGTGCGACCATGCGAATGGTCAGCGTTGGTAAAAATTTGAAACCAGCACGATAAATTAGTGAAAAAATATGCAGGCAGCTTGCACTAGTGGTGCAAAACAGGGTCAACGTGGAGCTAGTGGTTAACTAGCTTATCATAGCAGCTTACCTACGTGCTTGCTGTCATTTCAATGTTACCAGCACACGTAATCGGGGTGTGCCCGAACTCACTGCTGTGTAACCTGTGCGCAGAATCTCGCTCGGAAGAAACCTGCCATTCAATTGTTCTTAAATGCGGCCACTGTAATAGTGATCTCGCTGCCCCGTCAACGACTGCCCTCAATTTATGAAGAAGCGCATGGTGCTTACACAAATAGCCAGAGACAATTAGACCCACAGGAAGGCCACCCGAGATGTCTGGTGTCGGCAACGGCGTTGGAGCCATCATTCGAACTTCAAGAAGGTCAAGCTCGAAATGACAGCGCCCCCTCTGTTCCTGTGCTGCACAGTCAAGCAACACAAAAAACCAATAAGTTCAATGAAAACGCCTGAGAAGAATCTATCTGCCGATGAATGACTGGTTCTTTCGAACCATACGCTTTTCATGGAACAGCAGAAGACTGCACCCAATCTGGAGTCTTCATCGATCGCTGACGACGCACCTGAAGCATATCGCAGTCACATCTATGCCTCGTTCTCACATGTACGCCCTTCGAGAGATATTATTAGATATTTGGACGACGTCTGCTGGAAGCGCTCTCCAAGTATTGGATGCCTTAAGCCCAGTGCTTGAATACCTTTACTAGAAACATGGTTAACAATCACCTTCCTTTCCAAGGATTTTTCAAGGCAGCATTCATCAACCAGTAAAACGCCAGAGGAATAACATACCGCTTTATCGATTTTCCGCTGTTCGTGCACTACAACATGTTCCCAGTAATCATAATTTGTGAGCTCAACGTACCGACGCCAGTATGACTATTGCGGTCATCTCGTCAAGAAATGCAGCATGCAGCAAGGTTATCGTTTATGTTTGTCCGAAACTCAGTTATCTACTGCGTCCAATTGCGCCTCGTGATGGCTATCAGTATGTATACCTTACAATCCACATAAAGAAACCTATGTTCACTCTTATAGGCATTCATATATCACCTTCAAATAATTTTGACTCTAGAAGATTGGTTACATTCTGACCATTCTGTGTAGTTTCATGCGTCATCATAAGATACATTAATGCACATCATTCGGTATGGGGAAGTACGAGGACAAATGCAAAAGCTAAGAGACTAGCATGTTTTGCTGA